AGTCATATGTGGCAACCACATTTGAACTGTCGCAAGTGCGCACTATGTGTTTTGGTAGTAGAGTTCCCGAAGCGCCCCCACTATTTTTTTCCCCCATTTGTATAGCTGGGTTTGTCATGATGGACAGCTTGGCCATCCGTTTGCCAGCTACCTGAACGTGCACGGCCTCTGAGGTGAGCCTGGCCTCTGAATGAGTTGGTCGTGAGCTACTGTGTGGGCCGCCGCTGCTGGGCCGCGACCGGGAGGCCTTGTGGCGCCGGCCGCCGCTCCCACCGCCGCCCGCTGCCGCCCGGTCCGCTCGATAGCGCGGTGGCCGGCTGCGTCCCATCGGCCGCCGGCCACCCTGTACTTCATGGCAGGGACAGAGGTGATAGGGCCGACTGGAAACGCCGTCCGTAGAATGGTTGAGAATAAGAACATTTCAACCGAATCGGCATTCGTCGTGGTGACTCTCGAAGCATGTCGAGGGTGGCTTGTTCAGCGGGGGGGGGGGGGGGGAGAGGCATTCTGCTCACATTCTGATGCTTAGAACGGAGAAAACCGTGAGTTGGCCATGAAACTGCAGATGGTTCCAGAAGTGCGGCGGAAAAAAGCAAACTCGTCCATCACAATATAGGGGGTGCGGCCTCAGGAGAAGGCCGAGCCGGGAGCCTCTAAAGTGGTGTAGGGGGCCGGGGGCGGTTCAGGCAGTAGGTACTTTGTCTTTGGAGGAATGGTGAGAGGGACCATGCTAGAGGTGCCGATTGGATTCCAAATTTTTGGAGTTTCAAAAATGTCTCGAGTGCAATTTGGAAATTGGACGGACAGGGGCAAAACTCTTTGGAATTTCTGCGGCAGCCGCTATCATCCTGTCGTGTCGCAAATTGGTATACATCTCAGCTTATTAAATGTTGCTCCTTTTCGACATATTGTGAAGTTGTTGATAGCGTACACTAAAAATGCGGTTTTTGAGACATGATATAGAGTTTTGATAGTAAACTGCATCGATGTTTATGTCTTCAGAAGTGCTTGTGATACTCATTACTTACCTAGTTACTATTCGTTGCCACTCAGCATCCGGCCGAGCTGCCGTCGTCGAGCTTACTGATAGTCTAGCTTAGCGGGCATCGACATGGATTGTGGAACTGTGGATTCCTTCACGAAAGCCTGTGATGCACACCACTTGCCTTTATCATTTTATCTTTTTTCATTTGATCCGAATTAGGGAGTGCAGCGAATTGAGCAGGCACTGGGGTTATTGGTTGTAGAAGTAGTTATTCGGTATGAAATGCTTATAAATTTTTTAGCCATCTGTTTTTTGACACATTTTGAACGGACAGCTGATCCACCCTTGGACTTTGGACGAGACCTTGGACAAGATTTTCCAGAATACGGCACCTCTGGACCACACCCAACAAAGGAGCCCGATGCATTAAAATAGCCATAGGGAGCACAGATTTCAACCTATACCAGCCGAGCGCCCGACGCGGTCAAGTAATTGTGGGAAGGCGGGGAGTTAAAAACGACCAGGAGGTCCCAAGAACACTGCGGCTCCGGCCCCAGATGATGATGCATCCCTTAAATGTTCCAGAGCCCAGAAATAATATCTCGCAAAAGGTCAGGGTGTCCCGAAAGTTGCAAAAGGATGGGAAGGTTGCTGATGCTTTCGAGGCGCCCAGGCAGCCAACGGAACCCATAGCAGCCAAAAGCCAGGACAGTTATGTGACCTTTCGGCTCTAAGGAATCGCTGGGTGCCAGGAAGGTTAGAGGGCCCTTGAGACGGCCAGGGATGCTGGACGGGGGTGGAGATCGGGATTCTGTCGTAGGGCGTCGATAGTGTAGTGATAAACGTGTCTGCTTCAACTACTGTACGTCTGGAAAACCAGAAGTGTGGGGTTCGATTCCCCGCGGTGCCCGCCCCTCCTGCCACCCTGGCAGGAGGGGCGGGCTCATATAGGGAGGCAGGCGACGCCATATAGCCTGAGCAGCTAAGTGCGACGTAAGGTCCCACTGATGACGACGGCGGAGAGATTCTATCGTGCCAGAAATTACCATGGTGCCTGACATAGGCGATAACCCATGATGTAGAAACTGAAAGTTGGTTCTATAGAGGTGCCATGTTTGACAGTCAAAATTGATTCTTGGCTTTTAGAGTGTCATGGGTGAGATGTCAAAACATTGAGAGGTTAAGGTTAAGACGCATTTTGCCCCGTTATC